GCGTCCCTCCCCAGAGCAGCGACAGTCAGTGGGCACGAGGGCTTCAGCCGGAAGCAAAGGGGCTTGGGAACCTCCCAGGAAGGATGATGGGCAAGGACAGGGAAGTGTGTGAGGCCGCCCAGGATGAGAAGCGTGTCTAGAACCGGCCCAGAAGAGCATCGGAGTTAAGGAGGAGAGTCCTGCGAAGGACCAGCCACAGGGACGGATTTACCGAGTGTCTTGTGAGAAATGCCCAGGACACGACGCCCCTGGTCGTCATCGTAGCATCCGTTCACGTTCACGCTAGTTGCAGCCCAGAAACCAGAGGAAGCGAAGTGCCCCAAAGGCAGATACTTCTGCAAGGTCAGGCAGGATGAGGACTGAGCATTAGCCCTTGGCCTGTCACGAGGGCAATCTCTGGTGACCTTGTCTGTGACAGCGGGTGCAGCACAAGCCGGACAGCGGTGGGTTAAGAAGCGGGGAAGAGACCAGGAAATGGTGGATCCTTCTTCGACTGTCTGTATTTTTACTGTGCACCAGTGAATGTGTGTGGACACTTCTGACCTCCACATACAAGCACCCCGAAGGCACCAGCTTTGGCCAAAAGGAGCAGAAACAGTGGACTGCGGACTCCCACGTTGTTACGACGAAACATTTTCCCAAGACTCAAGTGGGTATTTAAGTTTTAGTCCATGAGAGACTCAGAGGTTTGGTGTGATTGGATTTGGTTTTCTCCTGGGACAAAATAATCTGGACCCGTTAAAGAGCCACACAGACTTTTCTGCATCCTTATAAGAAGCCAGCTGTGGTTGGGATGACATCCACTTCTCCGCGTTGGTGGCTCTGTTTTTACTTTGTGCCCAAGTCCCTTGAGACCGATGCCAGCAGCCACCATCCTTTCCGCCCTCTGTTCATTTTCATCTATTCAGGTTTGCTCACCGAGGGGGTGGTCTGCTGGGAAGATAAAGGACAGTACGCAGTGCCGAGAGAGACAGTTACAGGCCACGGGTGGCTGCCACTGAAGCCAAAATCCCAAACCAAGGATGTCCACACACCTCTCCTGCCCACCTCACCCAGAAACGCTCAGCCTTTTACTGGCATAGGTTTCCGTAAAAGAATGAAATTACAGGATTTCTAAAAGAAGCCCACTTTTCTGAGGTGCCTAGAATGCTTAGAATACTTTTCTCGTATTCTGAATTGTCCCCCAAAGCATCTCCCTCGGGCGTGGGCTTAGAGAAGGCAGAAATAGGAGGGACCTTCCCCACCTCCCAGCACGACAGATCTGAGACCCACGAACTTAGGTTCCCAGGGGGCGTCACACAATCGGGGGCAGAGGTGAAACCTTCCCTTCATCCGGGGTTTGCTTTTACTGTTCGTTTCGGTGTCTTGGGATTTAGAAAGGCAAATAGTCATCACTGACATTTGTGGAGTGTGCATGTAGGCCCAACACAGGTTTACATTTTACATGAACTCAGTCGGATCATCCTCACGACAATTGCATGAGGTTGGTGCTATGATTACTTCCTTTGAGTAAGAGACAGGTTCCCAAGTTCAGCAACTCGTCCAGAGTTCCCAAGAAATGATGTTCCCAGGGTCCTGGGCCAGAGCTCATGCTTTGGACATTTGGGCTACCAAATGTCTGGCAGCCCTCCGTCTCCTTATTTAAAAGGACTTAGCATCAAAAATCCGTATAAATCCCATGGATCATGAATCCTTCACTACATTGATGGAAACAGTGTTTTGGTGTTAAATATGGTACCAGAGCGCTTCATTCTGAGTCTTGATCTTAAAATTTTTAAAGTAGTGAAACAAATGGTTTGATTTCGTATGTTGGTAAAACGACCAAGTCCAATTTCCTCCATATTTTTTTTTTTTAAATATATAAACACAGGCGACATCACTGTGTCTTACACTGTATAAACACTTACGTGGTCCCCACGATTGCCCTGGGGAAGAATCCCATGCCCTCTACTGCCGTCGGGGCTTGGGGTTCATGACAGTTCTTCCTCCACAAAGAGTTGCTCCAAAAGGCCACCCCATCTGCCCTTGTAGTTTACAAGTTTACAAGGGCTCACTGAGCAGGGGCAAGAGGAAACACCGTAAATATTAGGAGTATAAAAGTAATTACAATTTGTAAAAAAAAAAAAAAGTAATTACAATTTGTAATTGACAGAGACGACGCCTGCCCACAGGAGGCGGGCATCCCAGCTCTCTGATACAGCGGTTGGTGTATAATGTAGCAACAGCTGAGGGAACATTCCCTAAACTGTCATACTAAAAAGAAATGAACTGTATTAATAGAGCCGAACCCCTAAAAGCATTGGGTTTTTGAGTTCTAAAAAACACCTTTGCCTTTCCTGCCCTGTGAATTTTCAGGTGTTCTTTCCATGCGCAGTTGAGGTTTTTCATCTTTGCAAAAAGCATGCTCTTCTTTGCCTTCACAAATAAAGCCATAAATGTTATCAAAACAGCCGCCATTACCTCTGGGTGGAACTACCTGAGGGAGGCGAGGTATATTTATTTTCTACGTTTTAGCCTTTTACGAATGGGGCCCCGTGATCTGCCAAGAGTCTTTTCATTGCTGTCACCATGTAACTATATTCTAAAAAAAAAAAAAAAAAAAAAAAAAATGATTGTCACGGTGCAAAGAATAATTTTCATAAAGAATCTCCACGGATTTGCCTTGATTGGTAATCTGGATTGTTAGTTTTCCCTTCATTTGAATCTCCATAACTGTTTTGATTTCCCAGACTTCTAACTTGTTGATGACAAGTTTTGAAAGCGTCATCTCAAATATTTAGTGAGCGAGGTGCAGACAAGTCCTGGCCCCTCGATTTCAGCTCCCTCGTAATTAACGTGATTTGCATTAGCATCATAATGAAGATGGCTTGGAGGGAAATAAAGAAGTTCTGTTGCAACAATAATGGAATCACTTTCGTGGCAACAAGTATCAGAACACGCATGTACAGATGTCTTGAGTTTAAAAAAAAAAAAGCAGAACAGTGCTGTTTTAATTTTTTTTTTAAACCGTTGTCAGATTTTGACAGCTGCTATGACTTGTTTTATTCTTTAATTCTTTCCTTTTTAATGGAAGGGCATCTTCCATTCATGGCTCCAGCAGTTTAGCCTCTTCTAAATGAGACAGAGAAATGCGAATCTCCCTGGTGGTCGATCTATTCACAGCTGCGCTCAATTCCAGGGTGACATCAAATTAGTAATTATAGCTGAGCAGACTGCTTTTTACAAATGACAGCCCTAGCACGCTGCCAGCAAGCCAGCCCCTCCGCAGGGGACCGAGGGAAGTAAAAGAAAACATAACTGGACTCACTTGATTTCTGGGGGATTTGACCTGACTCTTTAAAAAGCCCGTGTTCTTGAGAGAGAGAGTCCTGGGGATTGCCACAAATATGCATTCTCTTCATCGCTCCGCACAGTTCTTCTTAAAACTCAGGTCTGATTGTATTAGGTGAAGTAAAGCCTGTGTCACGGAGTCGCTAGGTCACAATAAGAAGACTCCTTTTAACGTCTGACCTTCTCCCTGGAACCCGTGTGAAAGCAAACAGCTGTCCTGCAATTGGCATTCGTATAAATGTATCGGCAATAATCATTGCTGACACTTTGATAATGGGCTGCAGAAGCTGCCTTGTCGATCCGTGGGCATTGTGAATTGCACCAGCAATTAAGGGAGCGTCATTGTCTCTGACACTTTACCTATTACTGACCGAAGCTTCAGGAGAATTCATCATTAATACCCTTACATCGAAAACTGCCTTCCTAAACCGGTTTCCAGCATTTCTTTTGTGATCTTTAAGTTGTAACAAATTACAATTAATTACTCCGTCGATCTGGTTCTCTGGGATGCAGTTAAAGGCAAGGGGACGAAGATGCTCAGAGCATGGAGCACAGGGGTGTGTCCTTCCAGAAATGTTTCTGCTGTCCCCTCATGATTAGATAAAGCGAGATTATCATGGGTTCTAAGCCCTAAACTCGGCTAGTGCTTTAACCTTCTTCTGTAAACTCCCGTTTCTCCCCAGAGGGAAGCGAGTCTGTGCCCTTTGCCAGACAGTGTGAGAAACCCCTTTCCCAGCACCCAACGTGCAAGGAATAGGTCCCCACCAGGGCAGAACCAGGGTCTGGTTCTCAGACCTCGAGTCAGAGGCAGCACCGGTAACATCTGCCTCGTGGCCCAAAGAGGGTTTATAAAAGGGGGTTGGGGGAAGGGGCGTGCAAACAGCATCAGAGGGCCTGAGTCCCAGCCCCTGCTCTGGCATTAATGGAAGTTCGGGGTTTGGGGATCAATCATTCCACTTTGTTGTCATTCATAAGATTAAAAGATTTGATTTTATCATGGGTCCTCCTGCTTTGGTACCGGAATCTTTCATTTCAAGTGAAACTTTCCCCTCCCGCAGAGATGCAGGTGAGCTGCAGACTTGACTTTGAGAAGTCCTGGACCAGACCGTCACTAGAATCCTGTCTGTTCTAGGTACGGGTGAAGGTGATTGCTGTTATTAGTGGAAAAAATGTTTGGGCCTGTCATATTGTATCAGCAGATGTCCGAGAAGCCTTAGGAACCCTATGATGTAAACCGCGGCAGTGATTCTGGGAAGTGGCGTTTTTAAGACGCACTTCATTTGGAATTTGGTGAGGGTGGCACGCGGAGAAGAGAGAACGTAGCAGGCAGTGACCCTGGTGAGTCCTCCGGCAGGTTTGGCCTGTGGTCCTGTATAAACTCTTAGTTGTCTTCGATTCATTTTTATGTCTCTGGGATGGATGGAACCCAGAGTGTCCCCAACACACAGGGAGCAGTGCTGTTAGAGAGGGGAGGTTTTTTAAGCTGAAAACTCTTAGTTCCAGAAAGAGTCAGGGTGGAGAGAAGACTTGAGGATTTAGAATGGGACCTGAATTTACGGCAAGCTGTTGCAGATGCATACTTACTAAAATAATAAAATTGTGATGTCCGCTACGTTAGTATTAAACCAGAAACTGTATAGTACTTAGCAGATTTCTTACGTTTTCAGACTCTGAGATTTTTTTATGTCATCACCATCAACATTGGCACCACAAATCTTCTGGTCAGACCGTAACGACCTATTTCATGCGTCCGGCATGCAGTGTAACTGTCACGTCACAGCCTGTGGAGGAAAGCCAAACTATCACCATTGATAGCGTCACTTATGGTTAAAGGGCCATTATGTTTTGAAAAGTATGACGGTATTAGAAAAGCAGTAATTTCACATTTGAACTATCGGCTTTTTAGGGAGGGGTGCCTGCGTGGCTCAGTCAGTTAAGCGTCCCACTTCAGCTCAGGTCGTCATCTCGCAGTTTGTGAGTTCGAGCCCCGAGTCAGGCCCTAACAGTCTGTGCACTAACAGCACGGAGCCTGCTTCAGATTCTCCCTCTCTCTGCCCCTCCCCACCTCAAAAACAAATACACATTAATGGAAATATTTAGGGAAAATAAATGACCAGCAGCTGGGCACCACCAGCCTTCACAGTTCTACGTGGCCAAAACATACTGGGGCTTAGCCGGTTTCGTGCTTCTGAACTGCAGCACCGTTTCACAAGTGTGTTGAAGTATATTCTCTTTCTACATTCACACATAGACAAACGAAAATAAAAATTACGAACCTTTTGCATCCAGCTGCTGGTCAGAAATGCATGTATGTTTTCATTGTGGAAATTACCAGGTAGGGAGAGCCGTTGGATCGTTTCCCAAGCTATGGACGTGTACAGACATTCTCTTTGTGTCGTGAAAGGTTGTTACATGTACTTCTTGTGAGAAAGCACCTGTTGTCTCTGGGACTTCCGAACGAACTTTACCCAGAGCCACTAATTTGCCTGTCTGTGTATCAAATGTGTGGCTTGGATGTTCTGAGAAGCAGAACTGATTTTATTATAAATCTCTAGCGTCTCTGATTACCCTAAAATCGATACCACATATATGATGTGATTCAATCAAATGATCTTTATCCTAGCTCCAGTGTAAGGATTACCTAAAATCCCCTCCCTCACAGAAATATTTCTGGAGAGTATATTTTCAGCCTCACAGACTCTGATTTTTATGATATGTTTTGGAAAGCCTGGTGAAGGGCGTTTTATTCTTTTTTTTTGCAACATTATTTTCATTTAGGTGAGCCTTGATGAACATGTAAATCGGGAACATAAGCAGTCCCTAACAGGAGACGGTAATTAGTACGTGTTTATTTATGTTGTGTATTTGGCTCCAAGTGTGACAGTGCATTCCATGAAAGGGACATCAGGCATCAACCTTTGACATCAAGGTTTACAATTTGACTTTTAAAAAACGGGTTGCCAAATGAGCGCATCAGACAAAAATTCATTTCTTTCTGAAATACAAGTACTTTGAGCACAGAGAACTGTGCTGTGTGTTACCCTTGGCATTGAAACCTTCCCGTGCCAAAATCCCATTTGCATTAAACACTCACGTGGGGGTGCCTGGTGTGGCTCAGTCAGTTAAGCGTCTGACTTCGGCTCAGGTCATGATCTCACAGTTTGTGGGTTCAAGCCCTGCGTAGGGCTCTGTGCTGACAGCTAGCTCAGAGCCTTGGAGCCGGCTTCAGATTCTGTGTCTCCCTCTCTCTCTGAACCTCCCCTGCTCGCGCTGTCTCTCTCTCTCTAAGAAATAAATAAAACATTAAAAAAAAAAAATTTAAACACTCAAGTGTGACAGGGGCACAGTTCATTTTCCTGCTGAGATGCCCTTCCAGGCTAAAATAAAAAACGTGGCTCTGCATTATATAAATTTTGGCTCTATGCATTTTGAGTATGTGTATTTTTAACTTTCCTATTGGTAGTGGCAGTGTAAACTACAGTAGGCTCTTTTTCTACAATTTAATATAATTGTAGAATGATGATAAAACCCAGTGTCATTTTAGTTTGAATTCTGTGTGTATGGAGTTATGTTTTTGACTAGAAGTACAGATTTCAAATATTTGGGTTTTTTAAAACAAATGTCTTTTTGACTCCTCTGAAAGGTAATTTGATTTCTTAATCTCACTATAGTCTTCTATATCATTCCTGGATTTACTCACCCTTAAAACAACCAGTATTACTAAACTCCACACACTTGAGTGAGTGATACCCTCCATATATCAAAGCGCAGGGAAATAGGTAAATATGTATGTGCAGCCAATGAGATTGCTTCCATGTGAAACAAAATGTAAACCCTTTTGGTAAACATTTAGTTTTGCTTTTGTTTTCACAGAACATCTGTAAAATTTTTAGTAATTCAGAATTTTTAAGTTTTTATTAAAAGTGGTAAGATTTTTTATTTATATTAAGAAGGGCAGTTCTAATGCCTTGCTTCTTGATCTCCTTCCTACCAGTCCATCTACCCTTTGACGCCTCTGCCTTCCGGGGATCCGTAATTTCTCTCTGGCCACCACCTTCGCTCCTGGGTCATCTGCTGCGCTAGCCACCAAGACACGTGCTCACTTTTAAACCCGAGAGTTGCAAACTTTGTGGTTGTTAGGTCTGCATATTTTCCCCTTTTTCTCAAAGCCCTGGCCAATCTGTCCTTAGGGATTATTTACATCCTTTATTAAACCCTAGGGAATAATAAGTAATTATTTCTATTCAGAAGCATTTATATACAGAAAATATCCGCGTGCTGGTTACCCTCTGGCTCTGACACAGTTGCGTGTACATGCTGACTCTCACAGCCATGTTCATTTGTGCTTAGTTACACATAAACCATTTCTGACCATGACCAAGATTGTTACATAGTACGTTGCTCACTAATGAGGAGTATGGACTTGGCAAGAGACAGATTCAGCAGCTGGTTCAGAACATCCCGGCCAGTATGAAAATGTTAAATATGCCAAACTTTTTAGAAACCTTGCTCTGGCCTTATCAGCGATCAGTTTGTCTCTGTGTGCGCAAGCCATACGTGAGAACGTGCCCGACAAGGAATGCTAACGATGTCTGTATATCACCCTCCACGGGGCAAGCACCACCCTAAGCTTTTTACATGTATGAACTCAAGGAGTCCTCACAACAGTGCGGGGATTTTCGCTAATCCCCATTTAGAGATGAGGAAACCAAGTCCCAGAGAGGTTAAGTAACTTGCTCAAAGTCACACAGCTGATCAGTGGAGCAGATGAGCTGTAACCCTGGCAGCCTAGATCCAGTTTGTGCTCATAACCTCACGCTTCATCTGTGCCCCAGGTAGAAACCTGGGCCACCCTGAATGGGCCTGCGGGCAGGCCTGACCCCGCAAGAAAGTGTGAGGGACGTTCATCCCGCTAGCTGTGTCCAAACCATGGCAGGGTAGCTAGGCTGCAAGGGGCACAGCGTCTCCCCGCTTACGCCTTTAGCTGTCTCTGCGCATTTCCATGCCACATTAGTGGAGGTGAATGTCACTTTGGGTCCAGTCCACCCCAGTCCAGTCATCTCCTGCAAAAGGGAAAGTCCCCTTTCCCTCATTAAGCCGGGGCCATGCTGGTCACACACAGCCTCCCTCAGCCGCCTGGGGCTTGGGAGCAGCTCCCAGCAGGGGTCCCAGCCCAGGGCTGGGCTGACTGGGGAGGGTGAGGTAGTAGATCTTTCTGGGCCTCGCCTCCCGGCAACTATGATAGTACTGTTCCTTCATCACACTTGGGAGGCTCCCAATCTGCGCGAAACTGGCCAGAACTTAATTCAGAGGGTATAAATAAAGACTTGACCTACTACCACTTCAGGAAGGTTGCTGACCGCGGGCTAAGAGCCAGCCTCGCGTCTGCAGTCAAGAAGCGATTCTGAGCTGATGGCTTTAGCTCTGGTGGTTTCCTCCGCCCTCTGGGCTGGGTCTGCATTGAACTAGAAAGCGTATGAAAGACACCATTAAAGAACCAGACCTGTGACTTGGAGGCTTTCAAAGCCCTCCTAAGTGCAAATAATCCAGTGTTGCGAAGCAAAGGGTAGACTCTACCGCTGCCCACAGTTAGTTCTGTGCTTCCCTGCAGACCTCAGCTTTGCGGGCTGTGTATACCGAGAGTTTCTGAAGTTCATTAATTCATAGCATAGTTTTCTTCACTTTAAAAAAATGTGTTTTAAATATAAATGCCTCTACTTATCAGAGGGATATATTGAAATTGTTCTAGAAGAAAAAGAAAAACCAAAAACCAAAATTTTTTAATGTTTATTTTTAAAAGAGAGAGCACAAGCAGGGGAGGGGCAGAGAGAGGGGGAGACACAGAATCCGAAGCAGGCTCCAGGCTCTGAGCTGTCAGCACAGAGCCTGACATGGGGCTTGAACCCACGAACTGAGAGATCATGACCTGAGCCAAAGTCAGACGCTTAAGCAACTGAGCCACCCAGGTGCCCCCCAAAAACAGATTCTTACTATAGAGAACAAACAGATGGTTGGGAGAGGGGAGGTGGGTAGGGGACGGGTGACATAGGTGATGGGGATTAATAGCATATGTACTGTGTTGAGCACCGAGTAGTGGAATTGTCAAATCACTGTGTTGTACATCTGAAACTAATAGAACACTATTTACCAGAATTGAAGTTTTTTTAAACATTTTTGTTTTAAAGCTAAGCAGTAAGGTTTGCTTGAGCATGAATCATTGTCAGGTAACTTTATCTTTGTCACATAGTTCTTACTAAAAAAGAATTTTTTAAAAAAGAAATGATTTTAGGGGCACCTGAATGGCTCATTGAGTTAAAAAGCATCCAACTCTGGCTCGGGTTACAATCTCACGGTTCATGAGTTCGAGCCCCTCATCGGCCTCTGCTGTCAGAGTGGAGCCTGCTTGGGGTCCTCTGTTCTCCTCTCTCTGCCCCTCCCCCATCTCAAAAATAAACATTAAAAAAAACTTTTTCTTAAGAGAATACTTTGTATGCAGGCTCTCGACCTATGTTTTAAATCCATACAGTTTGTTAGATGTCCACATCGACGATGACAGTGACAAGTGGCACTGTTTAAGTGTGTCACACTGGTGTTGGGTTCTCAGAACAATCCCTCCTGAGCCAAGTGATGGAGCGCCAGGCAGCCCGCGCTCCCGTCTGCACGTGGCTTACAGGTCCCGCTTGCAAGCGAGCCCTTCGTTAATTGCATAATCTTCTAAACTCGGTTTCCTTGTCGGTATGAATTTAAGAGTCATAGTTGAGATTGTTGTGCAAAATCAATG